CCTCTCATGGGTGGCTAGGTGGAGTGGATGGAGCCACCAGTCCTCAGAGCCCTGATGTGGGTAGGTGAAAACCCTGCTTCATGGGCAGGTTGGTGTCAAATATCACGAATCTGCCACTCCCCTTTAGCTGTTGCAGTTGAAAATAGGCTTCAGGTATATACCCTGTTGTACTATGCTGAAGAGGGCCTAGGCTGTTGAATGGGTCCACACAGATGTAGGTAGGTGTGAAAGGCATTCAAAGTCCACAAACCCCCTATGCCTTTGCCTAGGCAAAGGGGCAGTGCACGCCCTGAGTTCCCAGCTTAGAGGAGCTGACGGTTTCTTTTTTTCCTGTTTGTTCATTTGTTTATTTGTTCCCTCCCCAAAGCCAGGAGAGTGGCTCAGGCATGCAACGGGTCCCACCTCCAGCCTAGAAGGTGCAGCAACCACCAAACACTGCTGGATAGGGACCAGAGTAGAGCGGGGAGGGAGCAGCTGAGGGGAAGAGAGGCACTTCCCAGAGAAGGGAAGGGTTATTTTGATCCTGTGCAGCAGGTTAGACGCTTGCACTTAACTTTCTCAGATCCAGCGCCACGTCCCCCTAGCTCCAGAGGCATGTGCAGACTCTCTACTGCTCGGTTTCTTCTCGCGTGGAAGACACATCCCAAGCGCTACTGCTTGCTTCAACCTGTGTGCACCAAATGATCCAGCCTGCGGGGTGCTGGCCAGGTCAGGTCTGGCACTTCCTCAGTGCTTCTGAACTTTCTCTCCCTTCCCCTACCACTCAATCTGACTCCTCAGCTTTGTCTTTGATGTTCTGGGCTCCTAGATTGTCATATATAATCAATTCACTTTTTTGGGGGGTCTTTGTTGTAAGAGGAACCACAGCAAGTGTCTGACTATTCCGCCATCTTGGCCCTGCCCTAGCCAATCTCTTTTGAGATATAAAAGAGAGAAGTGAACAGAGAGACATGGGATCTCATACTACCAAGAAGCAAGAGCCAGGAGAATAGCATGTCCTTTGGACCTGGGGTCCCTGCGCTGAGAAGCTCCTTGACCAGGGAAGATTGATGACAAGGACCTTCCCTGAGAGCCAACAGAGAGATAAAGCCCTGGAGTGGGCACCCTGAATTCAGACTTCTAGCCTCCTAGACTGTGAGAGAATAAATTTCTCTTTGTTAAAGCCATCCACTTGTGGTATTTCTGTTATAACAGCACTAGATACCTAAGACAGTCCAGTTGTGAGGACTTCTGTTTTCTTTATGTTGAGGTGCAATCCATACTGAAGACTGTGGTCTTTGATCTTCATCAGTAAGTGCTTTAAGTCCTCTTCACTTTCAGCAAGCAAAGTTGTGTCATCTGCATATCGCAAGTTGTTAATGAGTCTTCCTCCAATCCTAATGCCCCGTTCTTCATATAGTCCAGCTTCTTGGAATATTTGCTTAGCATACAGATTGAATAAGTATGGTGAAAGAGTACAATCCTGACGCACACCTTTCCTGACTTTAAACCATGCAGTATCTCCTTGTTCTGTTTGAACGACTGCCTCTTGGTCTAAGTTCAGGTTCCTCATGAGCACAATTATGTGTTCTGGAATTCCCATTCTTCACAGTGTTATCTGTTATTTGTTATGATACACACAGTCAAATGTCTTTGCATAGTCAACAAAACACAGGTAAACATCTTTCTGGTATTCTCTGCTTTTGGCTATGGACCATCTGACATCAGCAATGATATCCCTCCCTCCATGTCCTCTTCTGAATCTGGCTTAAATTTCTGGCAGTTCCCTGTCAATGTATTGCTGCAACCTCTTTTGAATGATCTTTAGCAAAATTTTACTTGTGTGTGATATTAATGATATTGTTTGATAATTTCTGCATCCTTTGGGTCACCTTTCTTTAGAATGGGTACAAATACAGATCTCTTCCAGTCGGTTGGCCAGGTATCTGTCTTACCAATTTCTTGACATAGAAGAGTGAGCACTTCCAGCGCTGCATCCGTTTGTTAAAACAACTCAATTGGTATTCAATTCCTGGAGTCTTGTTTTTCACCAATGGCTTCACTGCAGCTTGGCCTTCTTCCTTCAGTACTATCAGTTTTTGATCACATGTTACCTCCTGAAATGTGTGAACGTCGACCAATTCTTTTTGGTACAGTGACTCTGTGTTTTCCTTCCGTCTTCTTTTGTTGCTTCCTACGTCGTTTAATATTTTCCCTGTAGAATCCTTCAATATTGCAACTCGAGGCTTGAATTTTTTTTCCTTCAGTTCTTTCAGCTTGAGAAATGCTGAGCATGTTCTTCCCTTTTGTTTTTCTATCTCCAGGTCTTTGCACTTTTCATTGAAACCTTTGAAATCTGTTCAGCTCTTTTACTTCATCATTTCCTCCTTTCACCTTAGCTACTCTATGTTCAAGAGCAACTTTCAGAGTCTCCTCTGACATCCATTTTGATCTTTTCTTTCTTTCCTGTCTTTTTAATGACCTCTTGCTTTCTTCATGTATAATATTCTTGATGTCATTCCACAACTTGTCTGGTCTTTGGTCATTCATGTTCAATGTGTCAACTCTATTCTACAGATAGTCTCTAAATTCAGGTGGGATATACTCAAAGTCGTACTTTGGCTCTTGTGGACTTGTTCTAATTTTCTTCAGCTTCAGCTTGAACTTGCATATGAGCAATTGATGGTCTGTTCTGCAGTCAGCCCCTGGCCTTGTTATGAGTGATGATATTGAGCTTTTCTACTGTTTCTTTCCACAGATGTAGTCAGTTTGATTCCTGTGTATTCCATTTGGTGAGGTCCACGTGTATAGTTGCCATTTATGTTGGTAAAAAAAGGTATTTGCAATGAAGAAGTTGTTGGTCTGGCAAAATTCTATCATGTGATCGCTGGTGTTGTTTCTATCACCAAGGTCATATTTTTCAACTATTGTTACTTCTTTGTTTCCAACTTTCACATTCCAATCGCCAGTAACTGTCAATGCATATTGATTGCATGTTTGATCAATTTCAGACTGCAGAAGTTGGTAAAAATCTTCAATTTCTTCATCTTTGGCCTTAGTGGTTGGTGTGTAAATTTGAATAATAGTGGTATTAACTTGTCTTCCTTCTAGGTATATTGATATTATCCTATCACTGACAGCTTTGTACTTCAGGATAGATCCTGAAATGTTCTTTTTGACAATTAATGCAGCACCATTCCTCTTCATTGTCATTCCTAGCATAGTGACCATATGATTGTCTGATTCAAAATGGCCAATACTTGTCCGTTTCAGCTCACTCATGACTAGGATATTGATGCTTATACGTTCCATTTCATTTTTGACAACTTCCAATTTTCCTAGATTCATACTTCATGCATTCCATGTTCAGATTATTAATGGATGTTTGCAGGTGTTTCTTCTCATTTTGAGTCATGCCACATCAGCAAATGAAGGTCCCGAAAGCTTGATTGCATCCACATCATTAAGGTCAACTCTACTTTGAGGAGGCAGCTCTTCCCCAGTAGTGACTGCCATACCTGAGGGGCTCATCTTCTGGCACGATATCAGACAATGTTCCACTGCTATTCATAAGGTCTTCTCTGGCCAATTTTTTCCGAAGTAGATTGCCAGGTCTTTCTTCCTAGTCTGTCTTAATTTGGAAGCTCCACTGAAACCTGTCCACCAAGGGTGACCCTGATAGTATTTGAAATACCAATGGCAAAGCTTCCAGTATCACAGCAACACACAAGCCATCGCACTATGATAAATTGATAGACACGTTGTGGGGCACTTAGGAGATGCTCAAAAAATGTGTGTTGAATAAGAGCCTAAACAAAGCCAGGTGCCATGAGGATGGTGGGAGAAGTCTCACCAGCATTGCTTGCCTGAAGAAAATAGATCTTTGATCTTTTTTCCTGCAGTCTTTGTAGTTGCCAAGTGTGACATACTCCTGACTCATGCCATTTTTACTACCCAGAATCTTGAACTCACTAGACTTGGGATTTGGGTGATAGAATCCATCATTCCATTAGTTCAACTGCTATTTACTGAGTGCTCATATGTACAAGAGCCTATGCTAGGTCCTGGGGGTAGGGTGGTGAGGAAATCCTCCAGTGTTCTGCCCACAGGGAATAGAAATAGTAAATGATGTCATAGAGAAAAGAAATAAAGCTGGTGGCAGAGAAAAAGTGTTGGTGAGTGGGCCATTACCTTCAAGATGGCACCAGGGAAGGCCTCTCTCAGAGGCAACATGTGAGGAGGCCCTGACAAAGGTGGGGTGAGCCCTGTAGCCCCCCAGGGGAAGCAAGCTGGGCAGAGGCAGGTGTCGAGGATTCAGTGAGTAGGAGAATAGTGGGAGGGGGTGGAGGCCATGAGGGTCTTGGCGCCATTGGAGGGTCTTGGACTTGTGTGCCAACACTGTGGGGCCCCTCTGGAGACATGCTAGCAGTGCATGCTGTAACTTACATTTTAGAATAACTCTGAACAGATCAAGGAGGCTGGGCATGAATCAGGCTCCCACTGCTTCCAGGCGGAAGTCCTCAGTGGCAGTGGTCCTCTGTTTGGAGATCTGTGGGGCAGAGTTTCCAGTGCCTCTGAGTAGAAGCCCCGTCCCACATGCATCCTTCAACAGGCATTCACTGTTCACTGTGCTTCTATCTTGTGCCAGGCCTGACCTAGGTGCTAGGGAGGGATACAGAAATGGATGAGGCCCACTCTTTGCCCTCAAACTGCTCACAGTATGTATGATATTATCATTGGGGGAAGCTGGATAAAGGGTACACAGGAACCCTCTGTACTATTTTTTTCAATTTTTTGTGAGTATTAAACCATTTCAAAATAAATAATTATTTCTTCTCAACAACACCAAAAATAAAATAAATTATAATAAATAAACATTTGGGAAAAATTTGTCCACTAAAACAAAACAAAGAAATGTAGTGTGATACATGAGGTGCAAAGGGTAGTGGACACTTCACACTGTATCTTGCAGAACTCAACTGTGGTGACTACATACATCATTATCCAATTTTCTTTACTAGCTCAAACACCTGGGAAGAGCAAAGAACCATCCCCCATAAAGAAGATGACCATTTCTTTGAAGATCAACGACCCACTGGTCACCAGAGTTGGTAACATATACTTGTCTTCATATTTTAGGAATGCCATTGAACAAGCAGTCCTCCCCGATTAAAACAAAACAAAACAAAAACACAGCAAACAAGTGGCACACAGTGTTCAGTGCTTCCTTCTTAAAAATTCTTGAAGAGTACAAAGAAAGAAGGGGAAAGAAAGTTGGGAGACCTTGGGAAAGATGAAAGAAGGCAGAATGCTACTACATAGGAGTGCTTGTCGTTGGGAAAGAGGCATGAAACACGCAGAGGAGGGAAGGGAGTGGTAGGCTTCTCAGGACAGACCCAGCAAAAATGTACTGCCCTTCCCCACGCCCACTGACTGGCTTCTGGCAGCAGAGGTCTCCCCCAGGGTACGCCCCTGGGCTCACTCTCCCCCATCCCTTCCCAGCCACCCAGAAACAGACTTCTGTGTTAGTGCACCAGGCGCTAGCTCATGTGAACTCACGGGCTCATGGACTGGGTCAGGAAATAATCCAGCTGAGCCCTGGGTAAACCAGCTGTCTTCAGAGCACATTCAAACCACACTCCAGCATTATTTGGGATTGTGGAGAACTTGGAGTGAGCCAAGTCCATCCTGGTCCCTAGCCAAGGCAGTTTAGTTCAAATTATCCCAGTTCTTTCCAAGGGAGCTCTGGTGGTACAGTGGTTAAGAGCTTGGCTGCTAAACAAAAGGTCAGCAGTTCGACTCCACCAGCCACTCCTTGGAAGCGCTATGGGGCAGTTCTGCTCTGTCCTATAGGGTCACTGTGAGTCGGAATTGACTTGGCAGCAACCGGTCTAACTTTTCTGAAGCCCCAAGACTCTGAGGGAAATCTACTGTCAGCTACGTTTCATTTCCAAAGAAAAAAAATACCCCTACCTACATACAAGTCACACATATTTGCAGTAGGTAGTCACATCCCCCCATGGGCTATGGTCACCAGGTTAGGAAAAAATCTGTTGCCGTGGAGCCACCTCCAACTCATGACAACTTCATGTGTGTCAGAGTAGCACTGTGCTCTGTGAGATTTTCAATGACTGATATTTTGGAAGTAGATCACCAGCCTTTTTTCCAAGGTTCCTCTGGGTGGACTGGAACCTCCAACCTTTCAGTTAGCAGCCAAGCGCTTACTAACCGTTTGCACCACCCAGGCAGCCTTCAGGTTAGGAAAGAACCTCTGAAATGGTCTCACCCCTGAGGTGACCCCAAGGCATATGCGAGCATCCTTTCTGCAGGAGCCTAGTTCTCTTTAGCTTCATCCTCAACTCCTAGCAGGAGGCTGAGAGCACAGAGCATCTACACACAGGTCAAGGAGGGCTCATTTTCTCCAAACACATCTCTGCCCACCTGGCTTCCACATGCTTGAGGTGGCCGGCAGGGACACCTGTAAGAGAGAGGTATGCAGGCAGTTCCCAAGGATGTGGGGCAGCGCCACTTCCCGCGTGCAGAGGTCCCCCCTGACCATCTTCTCTGATGCTGCCTCCTCCCCAGCTTTTGCTTCGGCCCTGAAAAACCTCTACATGAGTGAGGTGGAGATGAACATGGACGACGTGCTGGGAGTGCTGGCTTCTGCACACATCCTCCAGTTCACCGCCCTATTTCAAAGGTAGGGAGTGCGCTGGGTCAGGGCCAGGACCAGTCCCCGACAAGATCAAGACAGGGACTCGGCCCCTTTCCTAGACCCTCTTCCCTGAGCTGGGACACCTGGGGTTTCTTTGCACTGAGCAGGGCTTTGAGCCTGGAAAGGAACTAAGACACTAATTCACACTAGCATGTTATGAGCTCATAACAGCCTCCCTCCAACAGCACGCTCCTTTTAACCAAATGATTCTTGATTCATGGAATGAAACGCAAATGATGGCATTTCTACCATGAGGAGAGATTTTGCAAGAGTGCAAAGTGATTTCCTGCTAGCTCTCAAAGCTTGCTTGCTTATCAATTTCACCGATTTTCATTTTTGGCTAAAAAAAATCTCTCTCTTCCATTTAGTTCACATGCACACAAACCGGCCGTTTGAAGACAACCAGCCCAACTTTTCCCATCACTGCCAGCGCTCGTTTTCCTGCTCATTCCAAGAAAACCTTGCTTTTTCTTTTAAATAATATTTTGAGCTCTACAGAAGTTATACACGGTGATTGTCGATCCTGTGGAAGAGAGAAAAAACACAAAGAACAAAGTCAAAATCGCGCGTTATCCAAGATGCATGGATAAACAGAAAATGTGGTACCTACGTACAACGGAATATTATTCAACCATAAAGAGAAATGAAATTCTGATGCGTTGTATGACTTCAGTGAACCTTGAAAACATTGCGCTGAGTGAAATACGTCAGTCACTAAAGGACATTCATTGGAGGATCCCTCTTATATGAAATATCTAGAATAGGCAAATGCTTATAGACCAAAGCTGATTAGTGTGGAGGGCAGGTGCAGGGTCTCTCCTGGGGACCCTGCAGGTTTCAACCCACTGTGTGGAGTCCACGTAGTCAGCTTCACCCAACAGATGCTTTGAGCCTCATTCCACCTGGGGACACTGAGATGTCTTGGGCCAGGCCCTCCTGGAGGATCTCACAGCCTCGTCAAGGACACAGTTGCCCTGTGACCAAGGCGCGCAGGAGCTCAGAGGCAGGGGGTTGCTTTGTACTGGACACGTCTGCAGAGAGCACATGAGCAGGGGACCACGGTCTTGAAAAGGCACCCTGGGCAGCGGGGCGGCCAGAAGGAGGCAGAGAAGCCCAAGAGGCTCAGCCTGGTCAGACCCGGGGAGGGGATTCAGGCCGCTGTAAGAAAGAAGAGCTGGAGGTGTCAGCAGGGCAGGCTAGGGCCAACTAAGGAATTTGACCTTCACCTGCAGGTTACGGAGGACAAAGGTCTGGATTTTCCTGCAGTCCCCAACACCCTTCCATAGTATGTGTCCCCATTGTCAGCTCAGCATACTTGTGACTTACAGTACTTTCCAGAGTCACAGCTTTGTCCTCAGGTCATTTCAGAGCAACTGTTTCCCGGTGCTGTCCAGGAAGACCCCTCCGACCCACGCGCTGGAAGGGCTGCCTCCAGCCACCTTCTGTCTTGGAGCCTAGGCTGCCCTCCCTTGGTCCCGGATCCAAAGGCCCATCTTAACTTGGGAGCCATGGCCCTGGCTTTTCTGGGGAAGGAGGAGGATGGCAGGTTCTTTCTTTTTCTTCCTCCTCCCCATTCCTTGCTTTGAATGCCAGAGCAGGAGGACTTTGCAGATCATGGCCAAACCTCTCATTTCACTGATGAGCAAACCAGGCTGCCTGGGGCCCCTAGGACCTACCCCAGATTCCACAGGTAGCTGTAGGGGGTTGGTCCTCTGGGTTAGAGGCCGGGCGAGCCCTGGCATGCAGCTGGGCTGGGTCTTGCCTGGATTTGAGAGGCTGGTGGTGGCCACAGGCAGGGGTTTGGCAGCCCGAGTGTCAGCCTGTGTGTGGAGTGGGGCTGAAATGCCCCCGGGCCCCTCCGACATCATCGTAGCATCTGAGTGTTGGCGAGACCGCCGTCTAAGCTGAGCTCCCAGCCAGTGGAAAATCACCCAGAAGGCTGCGTAGGTCTGAATCACGCACACCTGAGGCCTCCCTCTTTGGGGGAGTGAAGAATGTCACAGGTTCTGCCAGGTGATGTTACTTCCACTCACGTGCCAACCTCTGCGTCAGTATGTTGCAGTCATGGTTGTCACATGTGTGTATATGTGCACAGTCATGTACACACACATAGACACATATACACACATGGAGCATTTCCCTGCTGGTCACTCGGGTTCCTCCAGGCTGAGTCAGAACCTCTATCTAGTTCTAGAACAGCTCCATCTTCCCAGAGGAGACCCCGTGTCTATTAAGCAGTCACTCTCCGCGCCCCTTGCCCCAGGCCTGGCCAACCACTAATCCGCCCCCTGTCTATTCTGGACGACAGAACCAACCAACAAACAAACCCGTTGTTGTCGAGTCGATTTTGACTCATAGGGACCCTATAGACCAGAGCAGAACTGCCCCATAGGGTTTCCAAGGAGCGGCTGGTGGATCTGAGCTGCCGACCTTTTGGTTAACAACTGAGCTCTCAACCACTGCACCTCCAGGGCTCCGTCTATTCTGGACATTACGTGTAAATTGTATCATGCACCATGTGGCTTCTTTCAGTCAGCGTAATGTTTGGAAGGTTCGTCCACTTGCGGCATGTCTCAGTGCTTCGTTCCTTCCCATGGCGGAACAATAAGAAGGGTATATTTTGAATCCACTTGAGCCCTGAGAGACAGAGGAGTCGGACCCCACCTAGCAGCACTGCAATGGTCTCTGCAGAAGAAAAGGATGCCTCAGGTAGCGGGGTAACCGTATGGCACCTGGATTAAACCTCAACAAGGCCCCTTTAGATGCTTTAGCTTTGAACATGGTACTGCTCCCCGGCTTCCAGGCTCCCTGTTTTCCCTGTTTCCTTGTGAAGGATTTGAGCTCAGGCCTTGCCTCCCTCAGCCCAGAGTTCTTTGCAACAGGCCTTGCTCGGCTTGTCCTCTGGCCAAATGTCCATATCTCTAAAGCGAGGCTCCTTCCACGGGAAAGGGCTCTGCCCCAGGTCTGGAGCTGACTGAAGACCTCCTGGCTGCTGGCTTCTTTGAAAGCAGCCAGGGGCCCTCCAGGAACATCTGTTCTCTCTGCAGGTGTGTAGCCATAATGATGAACGGGCTCACGCCGAGCACTATCAAGAACTTCTACGTGGCCGGCTGCAAGGTGAGCACCACCTGGACAGGTGGGCACTTCGCACCTGGGGAGGGGGGCTTCAAGAGCACTCCAGTCTCTGCCATTTCACCCACCAGGCCCAGCCCCAAAAATCAGTCTGAAGGCATCAGCTTAGGCATGGCACCATTTAATTTTGCCAAGTGAACACATTAAAAAAAAAAAAAAAAAAACTCATTTTATTTCTATAAGAATATTTTAATACTAAAATAGCAGAAAGGCTTGAATCTTCAGAGGAAAAAAGCACAGCCTTTCTCACCAAAAGAGCAGACAACCCTCCAGGACATTTTTACCGGAGGTTAGTGAAACACTGCTCCACCTGGGTCCTGGTCCGCGTGTCCGTGTTATGATGGGAATAAATGACGTGATCCAGCCCTCTCATTATGCAGAGGAGAAACTGAGGCCTTGGAGGGAGGCATCTGCCAAGGTCACACGCTCGTGAGTGGCAGTGCTGGGTCTGAACCCCAGGCCTCCTGACTCCCCAGCGACCTCCGGGTGACAACCATTCACGCTGCAAAACAAAATGCTTTACTGTAACTTGGTTCCCACAGTGTGTCACGGTGCTCTTATTCTCACATGTAGGTGGTTCAGTGGTAGAACTCTTACCTTCCACGCGGGAGACCCAGGTTCAATTCCCAGCCAATGCACTTCATGCACAGCCACCACCCGCCTGTCAGTGGAGGTTTGCTTTTTGCTATGATGCTGAATAGGTTTCAGCTTCCAGACTAAGACAGACTAGGAAGAAAGGTGTGGCAATCTACTTCCAAAAATCAGCCAATAAAAATCCCATGGGTCCCAAGAGTCCAATCACAATCTATTGTGAGGATAGCACAGCACTGGGAGGCGTTTCATTCCAATGCGCGTGGGGTCACCATGAGTCAGGGGCTGGCGCGATAGCAGCCAGCGACAACAAGGATGGCTTAAACTCCTGTTTTGTCAAAGACAGCTGTATGTCCTCATCTTTAGTCCACTAGTAAGGAGAATGTCGCTCTTGGTGGCTTCTTTCTGCTCAGATCAACATTTCTCAGCACCTCTTTGGCCCAGGACAGACCCTGGGCCCTGAGGACACTGGAGGTGTATTAAGACCCTTGCCCATTAATCTGTCTTGTTTTAGAGTGTGTGCCCATAAGAACCACCAACTCCACACGGGGTATGCCCACAGGCCCTGTCCGTGACCAGCCACTGGCTTTACCCCAGAGATGTCAGCATGCGAGCCCTGTGGCCAGACCACCTGGGCTTCAGTCCACCTCTGCCACTTACCACTCGAGTGGCTGCAGGCAAGTCCCAGGAACCTCCGAGCCTCAGTTTCTTCATCAGTAAAATAGGGATAGTAGTAACGTCATCAGACTGCCATGAGGATTGATGTCCATCAGCCGTGCCCGGTGCCCTGAGCACGGTAAACACGAGGACAGTGTTATCTGCTGTAGTCCGTGTGCTGATTTACTTTTTGTTATTTTAAGAAAAGGTTTGAGCACATCTGCAGCCTGAGACTCTGGGAGCACACACGTGTAGTACCCCCTCAGGCCAGCAGAGGGTGCTGAGCGTTCATAAATGCCTTTACTGGTTGGGTTTTCTTGCTTTCTCAGTACAAGGAAGAACAGCTCACCAAGGCCTGTGAGAAGTGGCTAGAAATGAACCTGGTCCCTCTGGTGGGGAAGCAGATCCACCTTCGGAATATCCCTCAGGAGCTACTCCACAAAGTGATAAAGTCCCCCAGGTCAGAGCTGGTGTCCAGGGTGGTGTGGGCGGACCAGGGGGCTGTAGCTAGGGGCCATGGGGGGAGGTATGTGCTTAGTGGGGGCTGCACCCACACCCCTGCTGACGTGCCCAATGGGCGGAGCCTCCTTGATCCCAAATTTCCTGCCCTCCTGGGCCTCAAGCCACCAAAAATGCAGGTACTGTGCATGGAGCTGAGGTGCCCTTGTGGTGCAGTGGTTAATCGCTCAGCTGCTAATCAAAAGGCCAGTCATTTGAACCTACCAGCCACTCTGTGGGAAAAAGATGTGGCAGTCGGCTTCCGCAAAGATTACAGCCTTGGAAACCCTGTGGGGCAGTTCAACTCTGTCCTATAGGGTCGCTATGAGTCGGAATCAACTTGACGGCAATGGGGGTGCATGGGGCTGGGAGAGAAGGCTCCCTTCATCCTCCTTCATCTGAGTTGGCCCCCTCCAGGAGGCTGTTGGCTCATTACCTACTTGGGAGAGAAAACCAAAAAACCTCATAGCCTACGTAATTATTTTTTAAAAACCTGGCAACATCGATACACATTCACTGTGGACACTTCGGCAAGTAGGGAAAAAACAGAAAAGGTCAGACAGCCACCCTCCTCCTCAACCAGTTTGTATCTCTAGCCCTGACTGCTCTCCTGAACAGCTCTAGACCCAAATATTCGATTGCCTGCTTGGCCCTTCCGACACTCCAGGCTAAAACGCTACTCTTGATGCCTCCTTCCTTTACCTCCCACCTCCCCAGGGTTCCTGGACTACCCAACCAGCTGCTGTAGCTAGAACCCTGAGAGGCACTCTGGACTCTGCTTCACCTTCACTCCCCGCACCCAGTCAATTCTATTTTCAAACGGAGCTGTCTCCATGGGCCTCTCTGCACGGGGCGCTGCCCAAGACCAAGGCCCTACCGTCTCCCACCTGGACCAACACAGTGACCTCTAACTGAGGGTCTTGACCCCTTTCAATCATATCGATCACCAAAGAGCCTTTGGTTCCTTCCCTTCACATTTGGGTCTCTGTGTGATCTGGCTCCTTTATCTCATGCACCCTGTGGCCACCACTCCCTAGCCTTGCTGTGCTCCTTCCCCTATAGCTCCTGTGCATGCTGTCCCTTCTACCTGAAATGCCCGTCCCTGGCTGGCCTCTTTGCATCCTTCGAGCAATTCATGGAGCCATTCCCCGGTGCTTGGCCTTTCAGAATTTTCCCCAATGGTTTACTAACATTAGTAGCACCTTGGTGAACATACTTCAATGTACATGGATCTTAGATTAAATTCCTAGAAGTGAGATTACTAAATCAAAAGGACTTCTGGTTTGTTTTTATTAGTCTTTTTAAACATGTTTTGTTTGAAAATTATTTTAAGCCTACAGAAAAATTATAAGAAGAGTACACAGAATATCTGTACACCCTTCCCTCGATTTACCCTATTGTTCAGTTTTTGTCCTGTTTGCTTTATCATTTCCCTCTATGTGTGTATCTATAAATACACATATGCTTTTTTCTGAACTTTTTGAGGGTAAGTTTCATACATCATGCTTCTTTACCTCTGAATGCTTCAGTACTTATTTCTTAAGGAAAAGGAGATCCTCTTATATAACTGCCATGCAGTTATCAACTTCAGGAAATTTAACAGTGATGTGTTGGAGGGGAAAAACATCACAAGGTTTAGTAAAGTAAAAAAGAAAGTTTTATTTGGCATACATTCAAAAGGACAAAAGTGGAAAGCGGACAAGCATGCTGCCAGAGCTAGAATGTCCGCCCGAATCCAAAGAATATTACAGAATAGGCGAGAATGGGAAAACGGACAAGCATACCGCCACAGCCATGTCTGCCCGAGTCCAAGAACAGTTACAGAGCCATCGGTATATATCAACATCACAAAATGGGTAGAATCATTGAAAGTGTCACTTTTTCACTGATTGGCTAGAAATTGTAATCTTACATTTTGAATCATCTTTCTTAACAATCATTGGTACGGGTTTCAGTAATGAAAGTCAGGAGGGTCTTCATTGGTGCCACAAATTCCTATTCACTAAATGCTGATACAAAAAGATAAGAGTGGAAAGTCTTTTGTGTTCTGTTTGATAGGATTTTTGTGAAAGTTTCCCTAAAAGATATTTTCCAAGATTATCTTAGCTATTGTCTTTACACCTCAGGGCCCAGTTGATGTGTCCTTGAGAGCCCAGCTGGGTCACATTCTGTATGCTCAAGGAGAGGGAATAATAACTCCAATATTATTTCCTAAATCAGATGTAATACTTTAAAATCATTGACTCAATACTGTCCTTTATAGCATTTTTCCCCTCCAGTACAGAATCCAGTCTAGAATCACATTGCATTTAGTTGTCATGTCTCTTTGGGACTCTTTTTAAAAGCTTTTTGATACCCATTGTTACATTACCAAAGTTATATTCCCTTAGGGTGAATTTCAAAAGTGAGAACTAAATTCTACTAAATATTGTAGAGGTAGATTCTAAAACAAATGTTTGCTTATGTTTTTGTGGTAGAAAGCATTCTGATTTCAGAAATTAGATGTAAAAAGATTTACTCTACTGTTGGTTTGAACTTACTAAGCAGCTTGCAATCTCAAGAGTGGTAGAACAGACTTAGAGTATTGAGGGAGACCTTATTATCTAATAAGACTTCAGGAAACCAGGCCCAAGAGCAGCCCCAGGGTGCCAAATGTGTTCTCAGAGTATTTCTGCTTTTCTGTCCTCCGCTTTTCCCCATGTGTGCACTCTCCTGCCCTCCACAGGAGCATGGCTTATGCAATCATTGAAGAAAGATAAACATGTCAGCTCTTAGGTTTTTCATAACTCTGTCCCTCCCTTGGAAAGACTGAGCTGTCCCACCCTGGTAACATTTAACCAAGAAAGGGAAAAAAACCGTCTAACCACAACCAGCACGTAAATGATGGGCTTGGCCTTGCAAAACGTACGCTGGGCAGGAAAAGAGCTCAAGAACATGACGTGTCCAGTGTCTAGACTCACAGGTTTGGGGAGACATGACTGATGGGGACACTGGGTCCTGGTCCTCTGGCCCCTCCCCGGGAGCTGTCTGCAGAGACAGTCCAGGGCCATCCTGGCTGATGGGGGGAAGGGTTTTGCGTGGCCTCGGGGATGTCAGCAGCCCGAATGCCCTGGGTGGACAAGGTGAGCATGACCAGGGCTGACAGCTATGGGCACTCACGGGCACACCATCCCAGGTGGAGTCTCCTCGTCCAGCTGGTCTCCAGCAGCCCCTGCCTTAAAGCTTGAAGTGTGGGGAGTAACAGCGAGTGCAGGAGAGGGCTGGAGCTGTGCCCCGAGCAGTGAGATTGTTAGAAATGTAACCAGCCCAGGGCCCCTTGTCTTAGGCCTTTGCTAGTGTCAGGCTGCCAGCTGGGGGATCTGGTACCACAGACCACCCCTCATGAAGGTGGGCCTTTTCGGGTGTGCTGTGCTACATACACTGTCCCATGAGTCCCCACAATCCCATGCAGTGGGTACAATTATTATCCGTCTTCCACAGGTGAAGTTGCTGAAGGGCAGAGCATTGAAGGGATACGCCCTAGCCTAAAAATGGGCGGGGTGGGGCGGGGCTTGTGCCCAGGTCTTCTGTGACTCCAAAATCCACACCCTTGACCTTGAACCTCCTCATTTGTTATGGAGGTTGGGGCTCCCCAGCAACTAGAAGATGACAGCAAGAAATGGACTAGCCTAAGAAGCCACATGGCCCCAGTGAGGTTTGTGTGGAAATGCCAAACCTCAAGGTCAGGGTTGAGGCGTCCTCAGTCCTACTTGGCTGCCCCTCCAACCGTGGACTGCAGCCGTCCCCCAGTTTGTGGTTGCAGGTATTTGAGTTTCTGGGTCTTGTCGGAACAACATCCATTTCTCAGCAGAAGCTTTATCTGCTGGCAGAGGCCTGACTAAGGTGTGGCAGGCAGGTGCCCTGGGTGCTTCTTGAGGAAGGCGCCAAGGAGCAGTTTCTGTTGACCACCGCAGTTTCCATCGCCAACTGTGAGAAATCATTCAGCAATTTAACACTAATTGCCACAGGCGCTATTTTCTGTAGGTAGACCCCTCCTTCTGGGCCATTCCGCCTTCCGCTTCTGAAGTCTCTTTGACCTCAGTGTCCTTTGGGGTTTGCTTTCCGTTTTGTAAACAACCTAGAGTAAAATATACACCATTTTCCGGACCTCCTGAGCCTCTGGTTTTAATTTATTTTCCCAGGCCTTTGGTTTTCGGTTAGTTTTCTTTTCAGAGGTCACCATTAGGTTATCCTGTTCTAACTCCCGGACATGATGAAACCCTCTGGAAGCTCCTTGTAGACCTAGGAGGATAGAGAACTCGGAGTCATGCTCATCTCTGTGAAGGGTTACCTTCCAACCAGCTCAGAGGGCACTGCATCCCTCTTTGTTTCCATTTCTGCCTGATGTCCCTGTCTATGAGAAAGGAGCCTGAGGTCTCAGGAAGTCCCTAAGCAAAAGCGCCCCCTCCCCCGACCCAGCCCCTGTGTCCTCCGTATACAGCACCATCCCACAGCGTTCTTTTGTTGGTGTTGTGCTTTAAGTGAAAGTTTACAATTCAGTTTATACACACATTGTTATGTGACCCTTGTTGCTCTCCCTATACTGTGACAGCACACTCCTCCTTTCCATCCTGGATTTCCCGTGTCCATTCAGCCAGCTCCTGACCCTCTCTGCTTCTCGTTTCACCTCTAGACAGGAGCTGCCCATTTAGTCTCATGTATCTACTTGAGCTAAGAAGCACACTCTTCACGAGTATCATTTTATGTCCCATAGTCCAGTCTAATCTTTGT